CAAAAAAAAAAAAAAAAAATTAAATCTCTGGCTGGACTCCTCACGTCGTACCTGAGGACAATCGACCTCATTATGAGACCCGAGTGTGGCTCTATCCCGCCAATGAGACGGGAAAGCCCACGTCCGGGCCCTCCACCTCACGTTCCCAATGGCCCCATTGGGAACATGCAGTCAACTCACGATGCCCAGGATCCAAGGAGCAGGACATGGGCAGAAAGACCCACTGTGGTAGGATCCCAAGTCCAGGGCACAGCTCCCCCAGCCCCAGTGCCAGCTGACATTCACTCGTGGCGCACTTTCTCCGTCTTGTACTTTTCCTCTTGTGAGCTCACCCTGGGGGCCCCTCCATGAGAGCATCTCTCCCTGCGGGGCTGCAGCTCCCACGGTGCTCAGCCAACCGCTGGGCTCCCTGGGACCCTTTCAAGCAGTCTGTGAGGTCCAAACTGCATTCATAATGATACTGAGGCATCGTCTACCTCTGTCGCCGTGTTGGCATTTGCTGTCATGCTACAGAAGTGGTGGCAAGTAGAAGTGCTGGCTCGCGGCACAGACCAAGGCAGCGGCCACAACCGTACTCAATGCCACACACTCGTGGTTTAAAAAGGGGCAGTTTCACTTAAGGATGTCCTGGGTGACACAGGAAAGTTCCTAATCTTACGATTAGTATTGGGTTAAATCTTGACCCTTGATAAACATCTTTTCAGTGTTCTATGGGGAAAATGGGAAGCACGTGTAAAGCTCTGGAGACGTGCACCCAAAAACATTGATTTCTTCCAGAAAAGCAATTTTTGGTGCAATTCTCTGAGCTGAGAGCAGAACTGGATACATTTTCCAAGAGAAAATGTACTTGAAAGAATGACCAACAGGCAAACTGGTTATTCAAACTTGGGTATCTGGCAGGCCTTTTCTCAAAAATGAACAAAGTTACCCTGTCACCTCAAGGGAACCAATTCACAGTGTTTGCTGCCAATAATAATATTTGCACTTTTAAGCCCAAATCTGAATTTTAGAGAACTTTTCTCCACCACTCTGGGCTTGACAGTTCCTTATGAGACGGTGGTAACACTAACAAAGGTGATTTTTTGATACTGTATGATGAGACGCACCAATGTTTAGAAGATCTGCATACCTCGGGCATCCAGGATTTTCCAGTGACCAGTGTCTGATGTGACAGAACCATGCGTGTGTAAAAGATCTATTCCAAGTGCAAGACAGGTCACTGGATTTTACTGTGACTGAGCACAAAATGTCCACTGATATGACTTCACATTCACACTGCATGACCTTTAAGAAACTACCATCTGTTCGGCTGTGGTACAGTATTAAAGGGAAAACATATTACAACAGGTTGACTGGAGAAACACATATGAGAATTCAGCTGTCTTCTGTCAAGGCACGTAAAGTAAAACCATGCCTTTCTTCTCACTAAACATTTTTGTTTGGGAAAGTATTCATTTATCATAAAAATATGTTATTTATAATAGCGTACAATGGGTTTATGACACCTGGTCCATGTTTCCTCTTGATTTTAAGTCAGTTCATATCCTCACACTTATCCAAACTACAATGGCGAGAGTACTTGCACACACTGAAAAGTCCTCCACGGAGCTCGCATGGGGTCACGGGGGATGGCCTCATTTAAGGGAATTACAGAAGAGCTCCCCCCAAACTCCCTGGATGCTGGTAATGGGCATCGCTGAACGCTTGCTCAAGTGAGGATCTCGCGGAATCAGTCGTGAGCATGTGACAGAAAGACGGCTGCCGTTAGCCTGACGTGCGTGGTAATCACACACACACACACACACACACACACACACACACACGCGCGCCAGGGAAGCATTATGCCTTCCACGCAGCACCCGTGTCAAGAAACCATTTCATCAGACAACAAATCTCGGGTGAAAAATGAAAGGCAGCATCGGTTTCATTGTACAGCTGATTTTATTTACAAATAGAAGCCGGATAATCTTGTATTTAAATAGCAGAAGTTCCATCACTCATGATCAGAAAAGTGACATCTGAAATTTATAAAAAGCTTCAGATCATGATTCAATCTCCTTTCCAAGGAGGAAAAGAGTCTTAAGTTTGGGGAGAAAGACTGAAAAATATGAAAACATTAGCAGAGTAGAGAAATGATCAATTGATGCTGGGGCCAAAATCTGTCGCCAACAGGCACATTTTTCTTTACAAGATACAAAATCAGTCAGGAGGAGTTCTGATGGGCTCTCAGATACAAGCTTTCTATTGTTCAACTCCAGAAAGGGCTTCTGCTTTCTCTTTGTCAATTCCTAAGTTATCAAGCGGAATGGGAACCCACACAGTTTTCTTCAACAGAATCGTCCTAGCTGATTTATTCAAATTAAACCTCAGGGCCTCACTCAGCCTTTAGATGACATCTTAGAAAAACCTTGCTTGGGCCATTTCCATCCAATCAAGCAGCTTAGCTGCGGCCTCTTCAGTGGGCGGCATCAGGAACGCCTGCTATGACAACAGCTCAGGAAAAGCCAAAGCTGGTGGGAAACGCCTGTGACGAGTGCATCCGCAACACCAGTCCTCTCTCTTCAGGTGGAAGGGCCTTCCTTACCTGGGACAAAGGGATCCTGGCAGAACCCAAGGCCCCCGCACAGCGTCCATCCTGTGGCGGCCATCTTTGGACCGTCCTCCAGTGAGTGACCGGAACGAACCTCAGACCAAAACCCTGCCCCGGGCTCTTCCTCTCCTTTGTTGGCAAATTCACGGTCCCCCTCCAGGTCCCACTCTGCCCCGCATGCGTGTCGTCAGAGCGTGGTTTATGCCTTGTGCCGCAGTGCTCACACCTCTCCCCTTCACCCCACGGTGAGCCCGGGAGCTTGGCCCTAAATCCCTTCTCCCGCCCCAGAGTGGGTGCAGCCCCGGCCCCAGGCAAGCGTCTGGCAAAGCTGTGTGGGCACCAGACAAGCCTAAAATGGTCCACAGCTGGCTCGATGGCCGTCTACCTACCGCGGCCACTTCCCGCCACACGCAAGGCTCCAGCCCATCTTCCTGCTCTTGACCTGCCAACGTCCTCCTCCCCGGGCACTGTGTGTGAGTTTCCCCCTGATTTAGGGGAATGGATGATTCCATAAAACCATCCCAGGCCCCGGAAGACTCCGGCTTTCCAGGGAGAATCCCAGCCAGGGGCCCAGCTGACACCAGGTCCAGCAGAAGCCCCAGCCACGGGGGGCAGGATGCCCTCCAGCTCATGCTTCCCTCTGGGACCCGGCAGCGTCACTGGTCCTCGAGCGCTGAGATCCCTGACACGAGGCGGGCGGGGATGGTGGGGCTGGCCGCTGACGGCCCGGTGTCACGAAGGCGGAGCCAAGGCCTTTAAGTCTGAGGCCCTTTAAGAGGCGGGTTCCTCTGAACAATGTTCCCGCAGACAGTGAAACGGCTCGTCAATGATGCCCCGCGCTGGGGGTCAGGACCACAGTCACCGGCGGCCGAGTGGGGCGGGGTGGGGGGTGGGGGCGGGGGGGTGGAATACCCGCGGGGATCGGACTCTGCAGGGGGGGCCTGGTCCCTCCGAGCCCTGCGCTGTGCCCTCCAACCGGCTCCAGAGGCACGTGTGCGCCCGCAGACACACAGTCACCCTGAGGAGTATGAACTCCGCCAGAGGGACGCCACGGGGTGGCGCTGCCTCCGGGGGGCTCACCTGGATGCCGTCCAGCAGCCGGCTCATGCACCAGTACGTGTCGGCCTCCACGTTGCGCAGCGCGTCCGCAGGCACGCAGGAGACGTCGGCGGTGTCCACGTCCTCCTCATCTGTGCCGCGGGGCAGGGGAAAGACAGGGAGCCGTCAGCCCACGGGGTGAACGAGCATGTGAGGTCGGTCGGCAGGACCCGCCTCCCCACCCCCGCCCGTTCTCCTTGCTCTAGCTAGATGACTTGGCATCTTCCACCCCATCACTTAATGGTTCTCAATTTTAATACCTAATTAGTTGCAGATAATTCATATTCTGAATCCTCTCCAATTAATTAACATAATTAACATATTGTAAATCATTGCTTCTCAGGCATTTCACATCCTAATAAGAGAGGACCTAAAATATCAATTTATTACTTATTCCTCACTGAGGTCTGAACGTTTTTTCCTAAGATTTCTAAAATTCTGCTTCTCATATATTCACATATTCATTCAGTAATAACCCCTCTAAAAACCCGTTTCCAAGGTTAGAGTTCCCAAAACCACACTGCGTAAATATTTCTATGCTATGAGCAAACACCAAGAAAGCAAAAACACAGATGTGTTTGAAAGAAAGAATAGGCAATGGTGCTCTAAATAATTTCCTCCTCCAAGCATAAAAAATCTAATGAGAAAGCATAACTTAAAAGCTTTAAAATGCAAAACAGATGCCTAATTGAAATGGCTTATCAGACATTTGAAGAAATTAACTTTAGATCCTTATAAAAACTGCTATCATCAAGCATAACACTCATAAAAAATTTTTTTAAATTGTGCATCCTATTCTTTTGATTTTATTTGCTTTTGTTGTATTTTGCTAATGTGCATGGCAACTTTGCAAGGAAAATGTTCTTCAAGAAAAGAAACATTTCAGCCCGGAATATGTTTAGAAAGTTTTAAGTGGGTAAAACTGACAATAATCATAATAATGATAACTGCTAACATTTACTGAGTGGTTATTAGATGCCAGGCACTCTTCTTCATGTTTTAAACGCATTAACTCTATTACGGCCACCATTGCACCCCTTGGGAAATGGGGTACAGAGAAACAACGAGCCGGCCCGGTGGCAGCCTGGTAAGCAGTGGGGTCAGGGTGTGGACCCGCCATCCGTCCCGGAGCCTGGGCTCGTAACCGCTCCCACAGAGCAGGCCAGCCCTCCGCACCTGTGCACACCTCACACCCGGGCTTCCATCACTTCCCCAGCAGCAGCGCAACACGGCCTGACTCCCACCAGGTGCTGGGCTGGAAGAGCCGCCTGTGAACACCCTCCCACTCCGTCCTCTGTTCACAGCGGAAATTGGAAAGTAAAACAGGGAGGGTCCTTCCAGGCCAGCACTCTGTGGGGAAACCAACCAGCTGGGGCCTCCACGGGGGGCTCAGGAGGTCACGGCCCCGGACACACATCCAACCGGGCACAGCCTCACAGCCGTGTAGACCACAGAGCAGATCCAACTTCTAATCACTGCGTCTCCCTGGAAGCACGTCTGTCCTTCTGTGCAAAGGAAAACAGCACTCTTACCTCCCTTCCTTCATCTGCTCCCCCTCATTCACTCAATCATTCACTCAACGAGTTTTTTTGTTGGTTTGGTTTGGTTTGGAGGGTTATTTTATTGAGATATAATGCACATACCGTAAAGCTCACCCCTTTAAAGTGTACCACTCAGTGGGCTAGTATATTCACAGGGCTGGGTAACCATCACCACGATCTAATTCCAGAACGTTTTCATCGCCCCAGACAAACCCTGACCTCATTAGCAGTCACTCCCCATTCCCCCTGCCCCTCCCAGCCCCCAGTAGCCACCAGGCTGCGTCCTGCCCCCGTGGATGTGCCTGTGTGGACATCTCACCTCAGTGGAATCACAGGACACGTGGTCTTTCGTGTCTGGCTTCTCTCACTGAGCACGATGTTTCCAAGGGTCACCGTGTTGTAGCCTGTGACAATGCTTCCCTCCTTTTTATGGTATAATAACTTTCCACCGTATGGATGGGCCACACTGTGTTTATCCCCCGCCCCTCGGTGGTCACTGGGTCATCCCCACGTCGAGGCAAAGTGACGAGAGGCAGCAGGCCCTCCCTGTGTCCCTAAACTCCGGACCCTTGGGCACAGAGATGAGGAGGAACAAACGCCCCCAAGAAGCTGGTGGGTTAAAGGGGAAAACAACTTAAAAATGGAAAACGGAAACATTTAGGTACCAGACAGTCACCCGGGTGATGGGGGAAGGGTGGGTTACTCTGACCCAGGCTGTGTGCTCAGCCAAGGCCCTGGCAGGCAGACCCAGGCGGCCCTGTCCCCTTCCCTGTGACATGGGACTGGGATGAAGAGTGCACCGGGGCCAGCCCTGAGCTCCCCTATGCCCGAGTGCGCCCGTGAACCTGCACCAGCCCAGCTGCCCCCCTCCGGGGCTGGGGCCCTGCCTCCTGCACTGGGCACCGCTCTGCCCGCCGGGCTGGCCCAGCAAGGCGCCCAGCCTCGGAACTCTGCAGTCCCAGGAGGCTCCCTATGCCCACACGCCCTGAGCACACCCTGGGATGGAGGCCCACCTGATTCTGCACATGGCCTGGCTCCAGAATTTCTCGTGGCAGCCGAGGCGGGAGGTGTCATCACCGCCAGTTCACAGATGGGGTTCACTGCCCTGCGCTGTAAGGGCTGCCCTGCACCGGGTCCCACCCGTCACGAGGCCCTTCCTGCTGCAAGATCAAGTTCGCAGACAGGAGTGCAAGTCACCTCGTCGGGGCGGAGAAGGACACTGCGATGACGAGGGTGCCCACCACTGACGGCCGGACGGACGGACCGAGTGTCGCGCCTGAGTTTCCACAGCGCGTCCTCTGGTGCCGGGGCCATTTCACCTGCAAACAGCCCGCTGCGGAGAACATCCACACCCGACAGACATGGGGCCTGCAGGCAGGGAGCGGGCCGGGAAGGGCGGGGCCCAGAGGCTGTGCTGGCCCCCTCAGTGTCGCCGCTGCTCTGGACGGGCCGGGCACCGGGGCCTCTGACTGCGTGTGGAGAGGAGGAAGGAGCCCTGGTCCCTAACCTCTCTGCACGGCAACAGCTCTAGAAAAGCAGGACCTCGTGCGTAAGAAACAATCCCCTGTCCCCGCCCCTGTGGACTGCCGCACAAGCTCACCGAGCTTTCCGTCTCCTGGGGGCGGGATTCCCACGGCCTCCTCGCTAACTGGAAAGGGGAAATTGCTCAGTTTAAACAGCGCTGGGACCATCACGGGATTCCAGGACAGCGATCGCCAGCGCGGGCTGGACAGCAGCCTCATTCGGCACAAGGTGTGGGGAAGAGCGCCGGCCCTGCTGGGGAACAGCGAGGGCAGGGAGGGGACCAACGCTGTTGTTACGACTACGTCCATCACCCCCTGTGCACGAGCCCTGCGATAAACCTCTTCACGTAATTAGAAGCTTAGCTGGTAATCAAAATAGTCCCTTCTGCATGAGCAAGCTGGACCGTTCTCCTGTCTAATCTGCTGCATCGCTCAACTTGGGAGTTTTAAATTTGAAACCCTGATACTTCGGTGATGGAGACTCCAGCACTTAATTACATAGATCTGGGCTCCAATGTAGGGAAAAATCCTGCTTTGGCCAGAGTAGGCTGTAAATTCACGAAACTCCTTGGCCCGGCAAAAAGAACGGATGCTATGATCAGGTTGGCTGAGCAGTAGGAATGCTCAATTCTAATGTAAATAACGTTCAACACAAGGTCACGGACTACACCCTGTCAGAATGTCCAATTCTGTGACGTGGTTGAAGACCCGCAGCCCACAGTCTCGGGCACACGTGGGTGGATGGGCTGTCAGCAGACAAGGGTAGCAGATCAAGGAAAAAGCAAGGACCACACGCTCCCCCCTGGTCAGGCAAGACGGCACCACTGGGCCACGCTCAACTGTCAACCTCCGGCCCTGAGAGGGACCCCAGTGACAAGGATCGACCTTCTCTCACCAACAACAGGCTCTGTTTCCGTCCCACCCCACCCCAAGCACACCCGCCATCGGGGCTTCCAGTCTCACAGACGTGCAGCCCCAAGCGGAAGGCACGCTCTCGGGAACAGGACAGAGGCGGGGCCGGGCAGCTACTGGTCTCTTCCTATAACAACACGGGTACCTGATCCCCAGGGGAAAGGGCCTCCCGGCAACACGGGAAAACGGCAGTGGTGGTGTGGGTAAGGAGCCCAAGAGTGAACGGAAATTTCTGTATCTTTAGTGACCCTTGTTTTCATAATGTCCTTTTGGCAAAAGAAAAATTTTTAATCTCGTAACGTTCTTTTAGCTTGAAGGGATCTTTGATTTTTTTCATAATTCCGTGAGCAAGAGTTTTTGGTAACAGAAACGCTACTGGTGGAAATACTGATTGATTCTATTAACTTGTATTGAGCACTTGTATGTGCAAGAAAACGTGAATATGGTTGGCAGGTGAAGACGAAACCAAGAACCACCCGCGGAGCCTGGAGGAAGAGGGCACCGGTGCACGCGCTCGTCCACAGATGCGCTCACTCACTCATTCTGCTTATCGGCCTTATTTATTGATAACATTTGTGGACCTGATTTATCTCTAGGGAGATGCAATTCACATGGCCGTGTCTGTGAACAGAGAACCAGCCAACTGGAGAGTGAGCAGGGACAAGGGGCAGACACAGCAGGTTCAGAAGAGCACAGAGAACCTGACCCCCGGGGAGGCGTGAGCAGGGGAGACGTGGCATCCGAACTGGGCCTGGGAAGACGCAGAACAGAGCACACAGTGATGGGAAAGAAGGTGACGTGAGGGAGGGGCCTCAGGAGGCAGAGCCAGGAAGCTGCACGGGCGTCTGCACAACTAGGTGGGACAAGAGGTGGTGAGGATCCTGATTCCGTGGCCCCCGGCGGCAGGCTCCAGAGCCGGACTTCCTCAGCGGGAAGGGGAGCCGTGGAGACACCTGTGCATCGGCGTCTGCACGCAGGGGGGTGGGGGGCACAGGGACCTGATGGAGGGACAGCACTGTGGACAGGAAGAGAAGGCCAGAGGCGGGGAGATGCTCCCAAACAGAGCGTGTGAACATCAGCCGCCACAGAGGCTCACATGAGATCCTGGGCCGCACA